GCTGCTTTGCTGCTGCTTTGCTGCTGCTTTGCTGCTGCTTTGCTGCTTTGCTGCTGCTGCTTTGCTCCTACTGCTTTGCTGCTGCTGCTGCTTGGCTGCTGCTGCTTGGCTGTTGCTGCTTGGCTGCCTGCTGCTGCCTGCTGCTGCTGCTTGGCTGCTGCTTGGCTGCTGCTTGGCTGCTGCTTGGCTGCTGCTTGGCTGCTGCTGCTGCTTGGCTGCTGCTGCTGCTTGCCTGCTTTGGCTGCTTTGGCTGCTTTGGCTGCTGCTGCTGCTGCTTGGCTGCTGCTTGGCTGCTGCTGCTGCTTGGCTGCTGCTGCTGCTGCTGCTGCTGCTGCTTGGTGGCTCCTGCTGATGCTGCTGCTGCTTGGTACCTGCTGCTGATGCTGCTGCTGTTCGGTAGCTGCTGCTGCTTGGTAGCTGCTGCTGCTGCTGCTACTACTACTGCGGCTGCTGCTTGGTAGCTGATGCTGCTGTTGCTTGGTAGCTGCTGCTGCTGCTGCTGCTGCTGCTGTTGCTTGGTAGCTGTTGCTGCTGCTGCTTGGTAGCTGCTGCTAATGCTTGGTAGCAGCTGCTGCTGCTGCTTGGTATCTGCTGCTGCTGCTGCTTGGTAGCTGCTGCTGCTGCTTGGTAGCTGCTCCTGCTGCTGCTGCTGCTGCTGCTGCTTGGTAGCTGGTGCTGCTGCTTGCTAGCTACTCCTGCTGCTGCTTCTGCTGCTGCTTGGTAGCTTCTGCTTGCTGCCGCTGCCGCTGCTGGTTACAGTTATTGTTGTTGTGGCTGTTGCTGCTGCTGCTGCTGCTGCGGCTGCGGCGGTTGCTGGGGTGGTTGTGTGTTGCCATGTGTTGGCTGCGTTGGGGTCGTATTGGGGGGGCGCTGTTGGCACTATCCTTTTCCCTTGGCCATGGCATGTTGCGATTCCCGGCCTAAAGAGCCCCAGCGTTGTTTATTTGCCTTGCTTTCGCCACCCCCCTCTGGGCCACAAGTTTCCACACTCCCCCAAGTCAACAGCGTCAATGAAGTGAACCCGGACACACGGCACATGCATAATACGCGGCAGATGTGCAACTGGAGGGACCGTGCTGAGCACTGAATCTGCCGTGCTTGGCACGAAAAATAGCCCGTAATGGACATGAAGATTCGTGCTTGGCCCGTAGTGATCATGCCTAGTGCTTGGCCAGGCACCTTGATCTTCAGACATACCTACCTTGGGGCCTCCTCGGAGATGGGCATCAACTGTGTGGCCGAAGCTGGTGCTCGGCTGGCTGCGGAAAGCAATCTCATGTCTGGTCAGGAGCGCGTTCCAGCGGGAATTTCTCTGCTTCCGTTTTTCTGCTGAAGTGAAGAAAAGGGGCACAACAAGAAGCTATTCTTACTTGTCTAGGTGGCGCACAACATTGCGGAGAAGGTGGGTGCGAGTGGATGCGAGTGGTGTTAGTCTGTTTGATTGTATCGCTGCGAGCGAGGTCGCTGACGGTTCGAAGCCTACCTTTAAGCGTCAACAGTCCTACACTTTCAAGCCCCACGCTGAGCTTTGAGCGGGACAGAGCGGAAAGCCACATTGGATTGTTTGCAGCACAGTCTTGGTACACCAAGGCCAAAGGCAGGTTTTGCGGAGGCCCATCTTGCCTTGTGAGACATCCAGCTCGAATTCCTTAAGTTAGGCTGAAGACTTTTGCAGACATGGGACACCTAGAACACTTAAGGTTAAAAGCGCCAAAGTTACATGTCAGCACTCATCGTGTGTTGCGAAGTCTCTTTCTGTGTTTTCGTGAAGGTCAGTTCTTCGTTGCAGCGTGGCATCAAGGAGATGAGGAATTTCCGCACCAACGAGCGAGCGTCCGGGGCTTCGCATTGAACATTTGTTCTTCTCATGAAACGGGACAGAGGCCATCGCTTCTAGGTTGGAGGCCATCGCTGTTAGGTTGGAGGC